AATCCCAAGTTTCCTAACCATGTTTATAAACTCCACAAAGCCTTGTATGGTTTGAAACAAGCCCCGAGAGCCTGGTATGAGCGTTTGAAAGCTTTCTTGCTTGATAAGGGTTTTAAAATGGGCTCAGTTGATAAAACTTTGTTTCTCTTCAAGCAAGGCACTCACACTCTCTTGGTTTAGATATACGTGGATGATATCATTTTTTGTGGCTCTTCTCATGCACTTGTTGCCAAGTTTTCAGAGACTATGAGCAGGGAATTTGAGATGAGCATGATGGGAGAATTGACTTTCTTCCTCGGGTTGCAAATCAAGCAAACCCGAGAAGGGACATTCGTGCATCAAGGCAAGTACACCAAGGATCTACTGAAGAAGTTCGATATGGGTGAGGCCAAGCCTCTTTCGATGCCCATGTCGACCACGATAGCCCTAGACAAAGATAAAGAAGGAGAAGCCATAGACCAGAAGGAGTACCACAGCATGATTGGGTCCTTGCTATACCTGATGGCGATGAGACCGGACATCTAGTTCGCGATCTATCTGTGTGCGTGCTTTAGTCTTCTCCGCGCACGTCTCATCATCAAGCCGTCAAACGGACATGAGGTACCTCCATTTCACGCCTAAATTTGGACTTTGGTTTTTGGCCTCCTCCTGTCTTTCTCTTTGTAGGTATTCTGATGCGGATTATGCTAGCTGTCGCATTGAGAGGAAGTCCATGTCGGGGACTTGTCAATTTATTGGATCTTCTCTTGTATCTTGGTCCTCTCACAAGCAGTCTAGCATTGCCCAATCCACCACAGAAGCTGAATATGTCGATGCCGCTGCTTTGAATGATAGCTACCCTGAGAGACTATGGCTTAGAGTTTAGGTGAGTGCCTTTGTTTTGTGACAACACCAGTGCCATAAGCGTAGCTAAAAACCCTGTTCTCCATTCAAAAACCAAACATATAGAGGTGTGCTTCCATTTCGTGCGAGACCACTATGAGAAAGGGGATATTGACATGTGCCATATTGACACCCAAAACTAGCTCGCAAATATCTTCACCAAACCCCTTGACCAAGCCCAGTTTGCACGATTGTGAGGGGAGCTTGGGGTTTATTTTCCTTTTTAGAGGAGGGGAACATTTGTGTTCTACAGTAGTCTTGTTTTCTTAATAGCTTAGCTTCTATTTTCTGGTTTTCTGTATCATATTGCATTGCATTACATCATGTATATTAGGGCATTTTGAGCTTCATGATTATATTCGTTAGATTGAAACTATGCTCTATTTGGGATGTTTTGTATGTACTTATGGTGCTTGTGGCTTAGGCTCCTGTTGATCATTTGATGCATGTTATGAGCTAAGCTATTGTTTTAAATTGCGAACATGATTAACAACTATTGAAACTTGAAATTTGTTCACCGCTGGGATTGACACTAGCATGTGTAGGATATGTTGAAATCTCTATTGCTATCATTTTTATGCTAGGTTGCTATGTCTCATGCTTTGAGTCATTCACTTGCTTGGACAACTTGGAGATTCTTGTGCTAAAATTTGCAAAACAAGGTAAGTGATGAGAAAAGATCGAGATGGGCATGTACTGTCCCATGTCAAGGTATCGAGACGGCTTCCAATTGCACATTTGGATGAACTTGAGCCTTGTAATGGATGCCGAAACCATTGTCTTAAGCTTCTGATTGTCTATGATATAGGCTTGGCATGGTTGCTAAGTTAGGTCTGGCAGTACCAATAACCTCTCGCACACACATGTTTTGACTAATTCTTGTGTAAAGCTGCGAACTCCGATAACATTAAAATTTGATGAAAACACAAGTCTTAGGTTCGTCTTTGACATGATGTGTGACCGCTATTTGGGGTAGTTCACCTTGTATACACTTGTTAGCACTAGGTTGATTTCCTGCTTATATCTGCTTTGTGCTACTTTCAGGGGTCAACCCCCTCTTGAATTGCTTAAACCCAATCAAAATTGCTTAAATGCCATATTTCGTTTCACTTGATCAGTTTGAGCATTTGCTAGCACTTGTACTTGTTGCTACACACACATAACAGCATCAGTTAGAGCATCTTTTCAATCTGATTAATATACTCCTGAAGCTTCTGCATTTCTGCATCCCTTGCATTCATAGCATACTTTGAGGGGTAGTTTTTCAGGCTTGATAAGTGCATGTGTCAACAAGGGGGAGAGTTTTGAGAAATATCCAAGAAGATCTTGTTGAGTGCATGCATTCATTTGGGAGATTGCATTTATTTAGGGGGAGTTGCACCTTGAGTTGCTTTTGCTAGATGTGTTGAGCCTTTGCCTCTTCTGGAGGGTCTAGCTGTTTTTAGGCGTTGAGCTTTGCATGTGGTGTTGAGCCCGTTGCCTCTTCTTGAGGGCTAGCTGCGTTTTACTTGGTTGCGTCGAGCCGTTGCCCATGTCTTTGGGGACCAAGTTCTGTTCATTTCAAATGACCCGGTTTTGGCTTTTCTTTGGCTTTTGGTCATTTGGGTGAGCTCTCCATTTTCTCTTCTTCTTCTTTTGTGATTTCTCTCTGCTGCCATTTCTTGGTGTTGACAATGCACTCATCAAGGGAGAGATTGCGAACACAAGGTTGATATGTGCCCTTGTGGTTCGGATTTGTGATGAGTGATTGTCAACGTGATTCGTGTCTTGGGTTGAGTTTGTGAACTAACCATGGCGTCAGTTGGATTGTGCAACATGTCTCTTGGCATGTGATACGCAGGTGTGGAGCTCGGAGGTGGTGGTCAATGGCGAGGTGAAGGTCAAGTAGGGACGTGCCGTGCCGATGGACCGGGAGCGGTGAAGGACAGATGTGAGGCTTGGATCGAGGGACCAGGAGGCCAGGTGACCAGCCACGGTGGCTGACATCTGGGGACATTGACAAGCGCAAGTATACATGGCAGTGACCGTGTTGACCGAGTCAAGATGGTGGTCGAGCAAGTCAAGCGGACGCTCTGGAAGACTTGGTGCCCGGGCGGGAGACACACGTTGAGTTGCGGGGGACGCGTATGGAGTACGCTACTCGCGGACGGTTTGATGGTTTGGGCCTCAAAACCATCGGGTGGACGGTTTCCGGGTTTGGGCCTCAAAACCTGGGCGGAGGTTCCGAGGAGGAATGGACGGCACGTGGCGGCATCGAGGAGTTCGCGTCGAGGCGAAGCTATCTCATGAAGGGCGCGGTGGCCATTGGATGAAGACTACCTCGGGTTGGACCATCACGCCCTCGGCTTAAGTGGTTCAACTCAAAATATCTAGGGGCAAACTGGGGATTGTGTAATAGCCCTGTTAAATAAGGACAAGGGAGCCCCAATCTCCCTCACCTCTTGTCATTTCATTTTCTCCACCTTAGGTTTTCCCCTCTCTAGGTTCTTCTCAAGAGGTCCACCGATGAACTAGTGTCCTGGTGTAATTGAACGTGTGATTTTGGTTGAGATTGGAGGCCCTAACCTCCTCGTGTGCTCCGGAATTCGATTTGTGAGGTGCTTTTGTGATTCACTTTCGTGTTCTTTGCGTTCTTGTTTTTCCCCTTTCTTTCTTGGATCGATTCGTCATTTTGAGAGCGTTTTGACTCGTTCTTTTTTATCTGAGATGAACTAAGACGTGAATTGATCCCTTCCAGTGAAGGACTTCATCTAATTCCTCACGAGTTCATAGATCGGGGCGAATCAAATTCTAGGGGTGAAAAACTAGGGTTGGTCGCAATTTCTTGTTTTCCCGTTGATTGGCTTTGTCTTGGGCAATGATCTTCTAGGAGTAGCCTACCAACTCTGTGGTAATCCTCTCTTCAAAGTTTCAAGTCTTTCTGAGTTGATTTGATCAAGTTTTGGGAGTTGAATCGATTTTTCCCCAAAACTGCTCATAAATACCAGACACGTCCGGTATGAATGTCGGACGTGTCCGGTAGGACAACTTTCAAGTTTGGAGCTGAAATTTGGTGGAGACCTACCTCAAGGTGTCTATAGACTGTGGTTAAAATTTGATAATTTTTTGACACCGTTTGATAGGGTTTTCGATTTTTCTCCCAAAGTCGCTCTGTGCTGTTCAACATACCAGACGTGTCCGGTATTCATACCGGACGTGTCAGGTATGGGCTGACTACACTCAGTTTAGCAGTTTTTCTTTGGTCATTTGATCTCCGTTTCTTGGGTATTTTAGATTCGGGAACTCGCTTCTTCTTAATAGGAGTTGGGTATCTTATTTTCCGTCCTTCGGTTCGGGAAGCGCTTTTTGCTCGTTTGTGGTGTCCCGCTGTGTTCCTAAGGAACATCCTCCCACTCTTTTGGGTCGAGGGCATCATGGTGTTTGCTTCACGTGTTTGGCTGTGATTTTGGAACAGTGGTCAAAAGTTTTGAAAGAAATTTACAGCTCCCGTTCATCCCCCTCTGGGTGCTGTTTCCGGTCCTTCGTAGTGTCACCATTTCTGTGCTAGCTGTGTGGGAGAGGCACCAGCTGCATGCATGGGCGCGTACCTCTCCTGGCGCGGCTGTTCTCATATCAAGCACGGCCTCTGTAGTCCCTAGTCTCCACCGACCACCAGATCCGTATTTGTGCTTGTGCATAATCAACGAATCAATCACTGTGCGTTCACGACTACCCTCTTGCAACCATCGATTTCCCCTAGTTTGCATGATTTGTTCCAGGAGTTCAAACTTTTTTTTCCACCTGAACACGTTTTTATTCTGGTTGCCGAATGTTTGGAATTGAAGCCCACTTAAACAATATACATTATTAATTAATTAATCTAGTAGACAGGGATGATTTGCCAAAAACACGGAAAGCATACCATGTTGCATGCTGCATTATCGTTAAATTGCAGAGCGACCTCAGAGAAAATGTAGATGAGCGCCAGTGCACCACTAGTTTATATGAAATTGGACACCATGAATCTATCGATTAATTGATCCATCGAACCATCAGCTAAAACCCAAAATTACGAATATCCACATGGTATACATCTATGATGACTTTTTGGTTCATACAACTGAACTATCATTACAAATTTAAACAGCAAAAGGAAGGTAGGAACAATCACCACTCCTCCGTATAATGTTTGCAGCATGTGGAACAGGGATTAGTCTAAAGCTATCAACCTCACCATCTGAAAAAAAAGGAGAATAAGTTTGCAGTGGATTGAGAATTGTATCAATGTGAATATACAAAATTAGTACGACATCAAATGTTTTAGTAAGTACCTTCATTATTAGGAACAAAATCAGCAGGAAGTTTGAGGTCATAGCAGAAGAGAACATCCCTTTTGTATCTAAAGCCTTCAATATCCATATAAGAAACCGCTCCAACAGAAGTATCACTAATTTATTTATGATAAATATTTGTTACACATTTCACTCAGAAACAAAAAAAAATCACAATAATTGAACAGGAAGTTCTAAGGAAAAAAGTTTGGCATTTTACTTTGTTGATATGGATCTTGCGATTCGGGTTTCATCTTCATTAGAATGGCTAGATTTAACGTTGGCTCGCCACGCCTATCACAACCCTCCTCCTTTACCAGGGCTTGGGACCTGCTATGTTGATAGGAGTATACAGTGCTCCATCTTTTTTTTGCTTCTGCTGGGTTTCAACCCTAGCCTACCCCAACTTGTTTGGGACTTAAAGGCTTTGTTGTTGTTGTTGATATGGATCTTGCGATTCCAGCTTCATCCTCACATTCCTTGATGATATTCTCTTTGCAGGATATTCCGTATGGCTAAAATGATCCAAATTGAGTCAACATAAGTTAGTTCTACACTAGAATGAAATAAAAATCACATTTAGGTTTTAGTTTAGATTACAGCCTATTTCATTCAGGTATGTTAAAGCCAAGCAGCAAAAATCAACATAGTCCATGTCCGGTCTTGCTAGCCGCCATGGGGCCTAAATTCAACAAAATACATACAGGCTGCCAACATCTACATTTTATACCAGAAAGCTAGCTAAAATCTGCCTTGGTGTCCTTCAACATCCAAGACAATTAACACAGCGAAAATTCTAATACCATGTAGGAACAAGAAAAACCATTAAGACCAGTGGTTCTCTCGGTCTAAAATCAATACATCTCTTTTGATAGACCAAGAAAGTACTTAAGTCCAAATTTCTTTTATGCCTAATGTAACAGGTAATGATTACCGGCTAGAACAGTCAACATTGAATATAATAGATAATTATCATATTCAGAATGTCCAACAGAGATGAAACATTGCTAAAATGGTTGCTCAACTACATATATGTTTTACCACACGTCAGGTGTATGTGCGTCCATACACATTTACTTTCTTAATGGAAGAAGTCCATTTTATCAATTTGTGGTTGAACATTCTCAAAAATAATCCAATTTAACCATTTTAGCATGAATGTAGCATCAAAGGGCATATGGAACAGATTGAGCAGTATTGGAGCAATTTAGAATTTCTTGTCATCGATCTTTAGCAAATAAATTTTTTTGTTGATAAAGTAAATGGAAATGCTAAAGAGAGGAATGAAAATGCACACCAGGCCACCAGCAACCAGATGATCAAGCATTCCCGGATATGTTTGCTTCACATCACTTCGCTTACCAATCCAAAGAAATTTCTCATCATCCTTCTCAACATACCCATTCATATGAACTCCATAGGCCTGTCATAAATGTAATTTCAGTGACAAATGACAAGGGTCTAACAGTTACTTACAGATACGTGCACAGCTGATGGATATAGAGATAAAGAAACAATAATGTGAGTAAATTTGGGGCACTGAGAGCAAGATTAGTAATGGGATGGTACCATTAGATGTGTACAATGCTTGATACACATATATAAGAAGGGGAAGCACTATAACATACTTTTATACCAAAGTAGGGAGCAGAAGCGTGTTCCAGAGAGAAGTACACAGGCATGCCATAAGATGACGTTACTGGGTAGCTATCATCAGAACACGAAACTAAACATGTATATGAAACAAGAACAGACACAAAGCTCCAGTGACATGATAAGAAAAAGAGGGACAACTTTTTGAATAAATTTAACAAAGGGGGTTGTTCTTTACCAAAAATGCCAGCTTCTGGTGATGATGACAAAGGAATGGGCATACACAACTTTAGATCATTCCAACAACTAATTATCATTTGTGTGCAGATTTTTTAACCCCCAGTAGAAGAAACATGAATAAGTTCAAAAATATTTGTCACTACAAGGCTGATTTAGTACGTAACAAAGTGCTCAGAACCATTAGGTTTAGATGACTATTATATATTTTCAGTATCAATGTATGTTGCCACGCTAATGCATTTATTACCGAAGCAAAGCTGACAAGGATGAATTTAAAATTAACAATTTCCAGATGCCAGACAGAGCAGATTGTTTTTTTTTTTTCCTCAAATGATGCAGGAGATCTGCGTGTCATTTCATTAAGATAGAAAAAAACACAAGATGAGCTGATTTAGAAAGAAACCCAGATTGCCGAAAACAACTCCACACACACACCCTAACCGAAAGGGGGTGGGTGGTTCTATACATGACCAGGAACAGGTTGTTTTTATCTCATGATTTTATAACCAAAGTATATAAACCTTAGCTTGCCTCTCTATATAAACTCTCATGATGTCACTAAAAGATTGACAATGACAGATAGAGAAATGCACCAAAATCATTTCATAGAATAGTTGAATAATTCATATAACCATTCAGAGTACCTCGTTTCGAATACCTGGAATCATTTCTCCAAGGCTTTTAACGGCACTTCCAATAGCATGTGTTCTGTCTTCTGGAGTCCTTAGCGATGAGTGGAGAGACACATGCTCCACAGTGTTGCTGCCATTGTTGTCCAAGACAATGGTAAAAACATCATGAAAGTTTCTGAGGTGTTCGATAAATCTGAAATTGGTATCAGTATGTTAGACACCTCAAAATGAAACTTGACCTGCAAATTCACATTGAATCATGAGTTATGTATCCTTGACCAGCAGTTCAGTACAGTAATAGATGCCTGTTTGTCAATCTGAAAAGTGATCAACAATAAGTAAAAGCTATGTTCATCCTATCATGACCATGACCATTATGCTTGGAGTTACTTTACTTTTAGAAAAAGACACTAACATGCGACTGAAAGATCAACACTTCAGTTACCATAAATAGAAACTGGTACGTTTTTAATACCAACCAGAAGCTACCAGCTCCATTCTTGACTTGTGCAACTTGCATTGGACATATAATCATCACTCGTCAGCATGTTGACCAAAGCTTGGTCGATTCTACTATAGTCAAGGAACAGTAGTGACAGATGGATACATGGGGTGATACTTTGTTCTGCACAGGTAATAGATGAAACAGGTTGCCTTTTGTTGTTTGTTTCCTCATATAACGCATCGTTGTTCAGTTGCTTTTTAGTGATGGTGTGTAGCTGGCTAGTTCAAGCTGTAGGGAGTAACACCTTTTGAACTGTTTTCTCTGTTTCTGGTTGATCTTGCGTAGAGTTAAGTAAGGTAGACCCGTTCTGGGTAACCTCATGGTCATCTTAATTGCTGTCTGAACTACTCTAAAACTGCTGTATTTCTGTTATTCAAGTAATGGAAATGGGGTCTGACTCGGTTAAAAAATATATATAATGCATTGTTGAGTGAAGTGATGCGTTTAGCTTATTATTGTGTCATGAAATGGACTCAATCACAGAGGGCATATGGCAGTCGAGATTGTCAGTAATTTCTCCCTGTCAAACAACAATCTCGTGTCACCAAGCAGCGAGCGGTCAGTGCTTAGACTGAAACTACTGCTTTGGCCTGACTTGGCCGAAGATGTGGATGGCTAAACCATACAGGGCATGTTTTAAATCAAACTGCGTGATTCTGGCAAAGCAGAAGAGAAACGGTAATAGACGAAGTGGTAAAAACAGAGCAATTTCTGTTGGTATTACAACTCACCAGTTTCTTTTGGTGGTAATGATATGATATATCACTAAAGCGGTGACTTCTTGGTGACACATAGCCAATGTTTCCTTTATAAGCTAACGTAAAAGGGCTGAGGATTCATGAGGTCCTGGATATTCATTTATATATGAGGTATTCGCAAACATTATTTAAAAGTGTTAAAATTTTCGCTGGTTTTGTATGTTCATACTGCTACTGCACTTTAACTCTTCGAGAACATTATAGCCAAGAAATCTGCAAATTTTGATTAGAAACAAAGCACAGTCATTCGGCAAACAAAACTTAGATTGGCAGAAGATTCCAAATATAGTCTGCAGTCTTATTAAAAAAACATTCAGAGAGCATGAAGATCCATCTGCCAATCTCAACTACCAATGAAATAGATGTTTTCTGAAAAGACCATATATGGTATAAGATTTGCACATAATGGCATAGGATTTTGGCCAGTACTATCCTGTAAACTCATATTATACCGCGTATGTAAGATCATACACTAAATCACTCAAAATTAGTAGTAAAATCATATAAGTCCCTCGTGTACACCACCACGTACATGCTTTTTTCGAGATGATATGGACATAAGGTTTGACCGTTTGAGAGAAGAAATCACACTCACCCCTTGTGGATGTACCCCACGACCTGATCCTCCACGGCGAACTCCACGAACTGCCCCTTTTTGTCCTGCAAAATCCCCCACACAAATACGCACATGCACAGGTGAAGGCGTTCGCCCATATACATATACCGAATTACCAATACACTAGAGCGCATGTGAGAACGGACGAGAAACTCACCATTCCGCGGTTGCAGGTCTTGACCTTCCGGAAGTACCCGGAGAGGTCGGACTCGTCGCCGCGCCCGCTGTCCCCGGCGACGCGGAGGGCGTCGGCCCAGCCGAACCCCGCTGCAGAAGTGGGCGACGCGGCGGAGGAGAAGGCGGAGAAGCAAAGGCGGCGGCTGGTGAGGAGCTTGAGGCGGGTGGGGGAGCTCCAGCGAGCGGCGGCAGTGATGGTAGCCATGGCGGATATCGCCGGTCGAAGTTCGCACGCTTGTTCTGTTCCAGAAGAGAAATGTGTCCCTTTCTTCTTCTTCGAGAAATTAGAAAACAATAAATTTATCGGCCTCTTTCTTCTCAGCGAAACCTCACATCTTTTTTTTACTTTTTATTTTAATAATTTTGGAAAGTGAAAAAATAAGTGACTTCTGGATAAACTAAAATAGCAGTGCGATTCCATCTCCATACAATCACCTTGATAATAAGGTGAAAGTATATGTGGAGACAATTAAGAATAACTGGATAACTATAAGACAATTTTTAAAGGTAACCTATGCATTAGTTGTTCAATAGTCTCATAATCGCGCGCGCGCACACACTGAAATTTTTTCTAATACCCGTATAAATACTTCAATTCACAGAAACAGTAAGACAACAATTCACTTATTTTTTCATAATATTATGATTTTCTTTATTAATATTAACTACATATATAAAAACATTGAAAAAAATATTAAGACATACATTTATGTATATATTTATATTACTTAGAGGTGTTATCATGTTTGCGGATCCCCTTAATTAAAATTATGATAATGATACCGCGCGGACATCCGTCCCTTGAAAAGCGTCGGACACGACCCCTCACACGCGGCTCCATCTTCTAAAAATAAAAAAAAAATCCTCACTCCTTATCCGCTCATCTCGTTACCCTCCCCACTCCTTATCTGCTCATCCCGTGAGCCCTGAGGCCGAGCTGCCTGAGAGGCACCCCACGCACCCGCTGCCCCGTGCCCCCGCCTAGCCCTAGCGCTCGTCACCGAGCCGGGCTGCGCACGTGGCCATGTGGCTGAGCCGCAGCGTGGCCGCTCATCCGCCGGTCCCCTTCACCCATCGCTTGCCCGTCTCCCGCCGCGTCATGCCCTTCCCCACCGTGTCATGCCCTTTCCCGCACCACGGAGACCTGAGCTTGCTAGCTATGGCAATTCCCCACCAGGTAGCCCATGGCTGCCGGCGGCGCCATGTTTTTGTTTCAGGTGTGTTTCTGAAGTTGTTTTCAAGTGTTTCATATGTATGTTGCGTATGTTGCAATGGCTATATACGTATTTGCAAATATATGTTTTAAGTGTTTCAGTTGTTTCAGACGTATGTTTCACGCATTGCAATGGCTATATACGTATGTTGCAAATATATGTTTTAAGTGTTTCATACGTATGTTTAATGTTTCAAACGTATGTTTCACGCGTTTCATCTATATGTTTCATGTGTTTCATCTGTATGTTTCATGTGTTTCATCTTGATATTGCAAAAAGATCTGATGTTGAATATGTTGCAATAGCTATACATGTATGTTTCAAGTATATTTTTCACATGTTTCATCTGTTTTAGACGTATGTTGCAAATGCATGTTCCAAATGTTTCAGCTGTTTCAGGCGCATGTTTCATGTCTTTCATCTAGATGTTGCAATGACTATACAAGTATATTTCAATAGTATACTGCATATATTGCAACAGTCGGATGGATGTTGCAGAGGAGATGAGACGTTCGGACAAGGGAAGGGGTGCGGGCGAGACAGAGTGCGGTGGAGGACAGGGGCACAGCGGGGATGGCACCACGGCGAGGGGAGGTGCGCGGCGGGCTTGACGCCGGGGGCGCAACCAGGATGGAGATCGAATCGTGGATGGTTGATCGCGGTCACTGGCGCGGGATCGGTCGCGGGCAGCCGGACATGATTCGCTAGCACGAGATCGGATGTGAGCACAAGGACGTTCGATGCGAAGCAGTTGCAGGCGTCGGAGCTGCGTCCGGATAGCCCTTTTGTTAAAATTATTGGTTCCAACACTATATAGCACTACATGAGACCATCTATAGGACAACACCAATGTACTTGTCCTAAGTAGTCTTAACTCTTGAGACCATCTTGCTACCGAAATCCATCAAATTTCATAAAAGATAGGAACGAAATAGACCAGACAAAAACACAACATAATTTGTTTAGTCTCAAATCAATGTCATCAGCTCAAACAAAGCACTACACCAGCCCCATGCGTTGAGTTTTCCTTGCCTGGCTCCTGTTACAGTTGCCTGGAGCTACTCAGGGTATCCAAACACATCACAGGCATAATCCAGGCAGCGATCTACCCAAACAAAATTGGCCCAGGGCTCTAACCAAACGTTCCCTGCATGCTTGGTGCAAGCCAGCCTACGGTGATGCCAAACCAATCACACCCTAAGAGTGACGTATTCTAATAAGCAAAAAAAAATGACAATCCCCATGCATTGCTCTTCGACTGCACATTTTCAGCACATAAATTACACATATGACAATTGATATTCACGTAAACAATTCTTTTTGAATTTCTTTGACACCCCTAGTGAACTGTGATTTACCACACCACTGGAGTTGAAATGGAAGTATTACTATGGTCTCACTAACTAATATTACAGACTCGTTTCAAAAGAAATACTAATATTACAGAAATTGTCGCAAAAAAATCAATACAATTACAAAAGAAAATTTGTATGAAGTGGAACTTTTTGTGATGCTGATATCTAATCATGATCTATTTTAGGCAACACAACTCAAGAAATAGAAGAATTGAATTAGCTGGTTGACTATAGCAATGCTCCTAGAACAAATTTCATAAACTATACGCATATGGAAGATCCACTATAGGAGCTTATGCTAAGGAGGAACAAGATAACATTTCTTTCCTAGGCCTATAGAACTTCTCTTTGTATGACTGACCGACTAGATCTACATTTATCCTGGTTGGCACTACTGTCTCATGTACAAGTGAGTCCACACGGACCAATCGGCGTTGCTCTGCGTGAACTACCATTCAGCTTGGGAGACTCAGATGCTGCGTATCCATAAGGGCTCTTGCTAGCCCAGTTCCACAGGTCTCCGCACATTTCTGTGATGCCATATTTCGCTCTGAAGAAGGAACATTTATTAAATGACCAAAAAATGGTTGTCTTTCAAATAAACCTTATGAATGATACTTTTATATATATATCTTACTTCCAGTGGAGCTCTCTCTCTGCTTTTGCCGGCGATGAAAAGAGAATCTCAGCATCACCAGGACGCCGTTGACCCATGACCAAAGGGATTTTCTAAAAAGGTAACAAGTACAGATAAGAAATCAAGTTGCAGGAAGAGAGCCCGTACATGTATGGCTACTGATGAAACTTGACAGCAAGGTTAACTCTTGGAATTAGAAAGAATTTTATGAAGTTACACGTTACAACAATCAATCCATACAAATTCCTATGTTCTTGTTGTGAATTGTCAAATAGTCCAACTCTCAACATTAGTCTCTAAGCCTACATAATCCCGTGGATAAATTCAAGGATTGCTTGCATACCTTTAAAATTCAGGAGTTGAGGTTTAATTGAAGTTTTTTTTTCTCAAACAAACTAGATATGCGAGCAAAAAAGGATATCATGGCAAAGAAACAGGGGCCAGAGATGACGAGATGTCCAATACTCAATATATCAAATCAGGTGTACCTTTCCAGAAGCCTTCTCAAATGCATTGACTATCTCCAACACTGATGTTCCTTTTCCGGTTCCAAGGTTGTACGCTTCACATCCTGCAAGAACAGTTAAATTTGGAACAAGATTCAACTACAAAACTTACTGTAGGTTTTGACTTATGAGCATCCAATTAACTCATATGTAGAAGAAACTGTTGTCCAACAAAAAGTTAAAGCATCATATGCGATAGATATATTTTTTTGCACACTTATTAGATTAAGAAAATGTATCTGTGATACATTATTATTAACCAGAATAAAGCTAATGAAAATCGACAACAAAAGAAGATAGTATTTACATCTTTAGGGTCTGTTGGTTTAGCTGAGAGTTGTGGAAAAGTTGCTATGAGGTGTGACAAGTGAACTGTGAAAAAACTGTTGTGAGCTATGTGCTGTGAAAAAGCCGTAAGCTGTTTGGGTGAAAGAAGTATAAAACCTACCCATTTCGACAAGCAGAAAGCAAAAAACCAAAAATAGGGTTCAAGGTGCTTACAAAACAATACTACACAAAAGCAGCCTTAGTGTACATCTAGAAAGTGGTAATAAACATTTCGGTTATAGTATAGGAAAAAGTCTACTTAACCCCCTCAACTATTCAGGGTGGACTACTTCACCCCCAAACTATAAAACCAGATTTTCTACCCCTTGAACTTGCCAAAATCAATCAAATAATCTTCCAGGCAGTTTTGGACGGTGGTTTTGCTATAGTGACGGTGGTTTGTTTTTTTTTTTTATTTATTTCCGCTAAATCTTTGAAAAATCATAGTAAATCATAGAAAAATCATAAAATGGAAAATTTAATTTTGTTGGACTCCACATGAGTAGGTCTATACAGTGAACCTATAATATAGTATTCTTTAGTACAAAGTTTTTGTTGTAGCTTTAGATCTATGCTTTTCTGTAATTTATTGGAATAATTTATAGCTGCAACTTATATGGTCCAATTGTTGTGAAATATTTATGGTGGGCTAATTATTGTATGCTTGAATTATAATAAAAATTTCATACTCATTGGATCATGTATAACTTAGTTATATCCTAAATAAATCTATAACTAAGTTGTACATAATCCAATGAGTATGAAATTTTTATTATAGTTCAAGCATACAATAATTAGCCCACCATAAAAATTTCACCACAATTGTACCATAGAAACTACAGCTATGAATTATTCTAATTAATTACAGAAAAGCATAGATCTAAAGGGCGTACCCAATGCAGAGAGCTCCCGCTCTGTGCGGGGTCTGGGGAAGGGTGTCAGTGGCAAGTCTTACCCTCGCCTGTGCAATGCGAGGAGACCGCGACTCGAACCTGGGACCTTTTGGTCACAGAAAAGTATAGATCTAAAGCTACATCAAAAACTTTGTACTAAAGCATTCCATATTATATGTTCACTGTGTAGATCTACTCACGTGGAGTCCAACAAAATTGGATTTTCCATTTTATAATTTTTCTGTGATTTACTATGATTTTTCAAAGATTCAGCGGAAATAAATAACAAAGAAAAAAAAACAAAACCACCGTCACGGTAGCAAAACCACCATCCAAAACCGCCTAGGGGTTATTTGATTGGTTTTGGAAAGTTCAGGGGGTAGAAAATCCGGTTTTATAGTTTGGGGAGTGAAGTAGTCCACCCTGAATAGTTGAGGGGGTTATGTAGACTTTTTCCCTATAGTATATGAGAGGGAAGCCATTTGTCCAAACCTGTGTTAGATGAGCTTTCAAAAAGCTTCCTTAATGCGAAAAGATGTCCTTCAGCAAGGTCAACCACATGAATATAATCACGAACCTGCAATCATGTAGAAGTGTTGTTAATAGATGGGAATATTCAATAACATCTTACTGCAGTTGTCACAATAATATTCCTAGAATAGCTTTGTTGACATTTGGCCATGATGTTGTCCACTTCCAACAGCACTTGAAAAGCAAATGCACGAATCAGACTGAGATTGGAAAGGTGAAGCTAATTGGCTGCAACAAATGAGATAGAAACCATTCTCATCATGAATGCCTATCTTTAATGTAGACAGTGAGAGCATGGTTAATTTGCATCCACTCTTCATTTGATCGTTTTCTGCAAACCAAGAATAGAGGCCTGATGGTAATGTTCAGAGGAGGCCAGGGCAAACTCTTCTACTGTAAACTACCAATAATAACATCAGGATTGCCCACATGATGACATGTTTCCTTACAGGTGGAAACAAAAAGCTGACCAGACGCTAAGTTGAATGATTGAACAGACTAAGGTAGGCATTTTCGAGCTGTACAACATTTCTAGTGTCAAAGTGATTCTCACTTCAGTTATTTGGTTCCAATAACTTATGTTCTGATAAGCACTAGCGGACTACATAGTTTCAATTGTTACTCCAGCTTTTAAATTGAAGAGCCTTAAGCAGCCACCAAACATTACTAGTGATTCTAGTGCCGATCTATTTAAATTTACATAAAATGCCCTCTACAGAAACATATAATGCCTATAACATGAAATGAACACCAAATGGATAAAGAAAATTCAAATGCTGATGCAAGTAACAAGTAACAGAGAGTAGCATAATGAAGAAACAGTACCCCTGTCCCATCCTTTGTTGCGTAGTTATTTCCAAATATTGTTAATGATGGCCTCCTGCCAACAGCAATTTGCTGAACGAAGGGCATAAGGTTGTTAGGAGTTCCACATGGGTCTTCACCAAGGTATCCACTGGGGTGAGCCCCAACCGGATTAAAGTACCTAAGCAAAATGATATTCCATTCAGGATCTGAATGGTAGATACCACGGCATATCTCCTCAGCCATAAGCTGCAATTAATATGTATGGTTGCAATCAGTTAAAAGACTTGATGCTAGATTAATTCATGGAAAATGAAGAAGCATACTTTGGTTCTGCCATATGGGTTATGTGGAGTGAGAGGAAAGTCTTCAGTGCAGGGTGAGTTCTTAGGTGACCCATAAACTGCAGCTGATGATGAGAACACTAACTGCAAGATTAGGACACATAAGAGGAAAGAAATCAGTATAAGCCCGATCTGAACAACAAATGACCAACTGGCCTAAACTCAAAATGTTACGGTGATAGACATATTAAGCAATGAGTACCACCTAGATCAACCAAAATTATGAATGTGATGACCACTGTTTAATAGGTGCATGGATCAAATGTTACCATTCCTAAAGGTTGGATGTAAAACCGCATAAAATGGTGTTGAGTAACAATGTATTCATTAGGCAGCAATCTGGTACATCAATTACATCAGGAAGTAGAGAAACCATTCCATTTAATAATTTGGCACTCATTTTACATAAAGATAAGTAAACATTTGCAGGAACAAGCCTTTAACTGCATTAAAAAATCAGTTTTGTAATTGCAATATTTTCAAAAACGAAGAATAGTGATAGTGTATATACTTTTTTGTGAAAGAAAAAGATCATATATGTTGAATTATCTAGCAAATAATTGGAAAATATTGATTTTCTAGAGGATACTAGTATTGAAAGCACTAAGAAAATTTTTAGAACGGGTAAATATCAGTTAAGCATGGTTATGCATCTGTACATAAAAAGGTAATCACATTACTAAACATACTCTTGGAGCACAAGGTACCCCACAGATATAGGTATGCCAATACCTTCTTACATCCATGAGCTGCCATAACTTCCAGAAGATTTATTGTGCCAACAACATTATGGTCGTAATAAAGCAATGGCTTTTGTACACTTTCTCCAACAGCTTTCAGCCCAGCAAAATGAATAACAGCATCAAATCTGGAGAACGGCGTAGCATGAATATAAATAAGTACCGGGTGCAGATGCATTTACATAGAAGACAAGACTAAACATTGAATAGGTAATTAATGATGAGCAGATATACATTGCCTACTAACTGGCTATCTTCCAGTGAGCTTTACCTTGTTGAAGCAAAAACCTTTTCCAATCCATCTTTGTCACGGATATCAACCTGCAGAAACAGAAAATTTGAGAACACGGCTTGTATGTCCCAGAAGGCCAGTAACAATTTTATGACTAGGTTAAATACGTAATATGACATTGATTTCCAGGTTTATGCCCTAGTAGATTAAGAGATATTTTTCCCCAAGATATGCCATTAAATGGTGCATACAGCCCAGACAAAACTAAAGTGAAACTATTGATTGGAATATGCCACATATAGTGATCCCCCACATAGATTCCAATGATTTACACATGACCAGTGAAAAGGATACCAGCATACACAGAAGAGAGGCAATGTGATAAGCTCATGCAAACATTTCTGAGGGAAATAAAATTGGGCTAACACAGTTTCAAAACTATTTACTATGCAACTAGCACCATGCATGTCTTGTTCAGCAGCAACCAGATTACCAGAAATATGAATATTGCACGTGTATTTCCCGGGAAGAAGATATTTGTGTACCAAGTATTGGTGACACCAGCTAAACGATGAACCAACATCACTTGGTAAGTTTCCTGTGCCCTTATTTTGTCAGGATTTGACAGAAAAGGGTGGATCCATTAATCATGGAAACCAATTTGGCGAGCAAATATTTACTTCTTTTCAGCTTCAAGTGCAAGTTTACATACTCCTCAGATTGCTTAGTGAATGATTTTCCTAGAAGAGGCAAACTTTTTTTGCACAAGTCAACAAATAAGAATATGGTAAACCATCCTACTTAACCAAACTGTGTATGTCTACGAACGGTTACAACAACAACAACAACAACAAAGCCTTTAAGTCCCAAACAAGTTGGGGTAGGCTAGAGTTGAAACCCATCAGAAGCAATCAAGGTTCAGGCACGGGTTACTTCGAAAAAACTAGATTGAGGAAAAGACTACCAAATTCAATAACCAGCCAAGATTTTGTCAACGGCAATAACAAATACGGAGTATGTCACATTATTGGAGCCAGTTGTATAAATTCTGCAATGCTAAAGTGAGACATGTTCAAGCATTGACCAACGAAGGCACTGACACCATCCAAACTTTGCCAATTTGGCAACACTACTAAATGTCAAGTAAAATCCTAAACAACTGTAGCTCAAGCATAACTTGACAACAAACCCAGAATTTGAATTTAAGGAATCACAACCATGCTAAAATTGATGGCCCGATTAGATCTCAGATTTAGATCTGGAACTGGAACTACCAGAGGGCAGCTTAGCCCTTGGCCGCTTGGATTGAATGAAAATGCAATGGCCTAATCTGATACAAGGGTGTGCCCCTGCTTTTATAGGCAGAGGGCAGCATCTACTTTCTACCTGCTCCAGCATATTTCCTAACCACTAAAGTGGATGCTGAGCATATTCCTATTACAAAGGGTTAAAAGGCAAGGAAAGTAAAATGCAGAAAAGTAAGATACAAGTGTTGCCGAGCACTAGGCTTATCTGTCAAAAATTATCGAAGCTTTCACTGCTTCTCATCACTGTCCATCTACTACATTCAGTAAAACACGAGACAACAACCAAACAAAAGTGACAAATCCAAAATTTCACCACAGGACTTGAGTATCTGCAGTCCAGATTATATTATCCTCCATATGAATTTAGACTTCCAATACTGGTTAACCAAGATCAATCTGCCTATTTCCCCCCCTTCCCAAGTAAAATCTGAGCAAGTTAATCAAATTCGCATACTAATCCACCATCATTTTCTATCAAACAACCGAATAAACTGTGGAGAAAATATAGGCTGCAGGACCCCATAAAAGCAGATGGAGAGATCAACCCAACTCGGCAACTCAGATCACCTAGAAAGTAACCGCAACCAAAATACCTTTGGCAGCTAATTATCACGCTTATATACATCTAAATTTTATACGAAACCTACATAAGCCCCACCAACGATAGGGAAAAAACATTAGGCCCAACACGAGACCCATTGCGGACCCAAACCCAAAATGAATCTCCAACACAATACCTATAGCCTCCAACAGAGTATCTATATGCAAGACCCATTTTAGATGTCAAGATAAGCATAACCCAAATATGAGAATCTCTCTCATAGAGACCTATTTGCAGAAAGGGTTATCTTTTGGGTCTTGTTGTTGGAGAAGACCAAAAATATGTATTGAACTCTTTGCATGTAGTGCTACCTAAAGAACGAATGAGTCTTATATTTTGGATCGCGGTTGTTGGAAACAGTCTTACCTCCAATAACACTGCCAACATAATCACCATACCAAGTTACCAACAGCAGGCCAACGTAATCACCATACCAACAGCAGGCCAAAATAATCACCACACCAACAGCACGATGGTGTATACTCCGCGCATATATATATCACAGAAATACAAATCGGCGCGCGTGATCGACACGAAGGGGAAGGGCTTGGCCACATTGAGGGACAGACAGCGAGCGTGCTTATTGGCCGGAGTAACTACCTTGTGGAACGCGAGGTTTTTGGCGTTGTCCGCCCCCGCGAGCGAGCGCAGGCGGCGGATGACGAGCTCGGAGGAGTTGGCGAGACTGTCGAGGACGACGACGCGGAAGCCCGCGGTGAGCAGCTGCAGCACGGCGTGGCTGCCGATGTAGCCCGCCCCGCCCGTCACAAGCACCGCCCTGCTGCTCGGCCCCGCCTCCTTGGCCGCAGACATCTCCTCCACCCCCGGCCCCCGCGACCCTCCCTCCTCTCCTCCTCTCTCTCTCTCTCTCTCTCTCTCTCTGTGTGTGTGTGTAGTGTCTAGTGTGTGCCTAGTGTCTAGTGTGTGCCCCGGCGCTTGCGGATCTGCGGGGACGAAGCGACGACCAAGTGTCCGAATGGGAGGGGAGGAGGCGTGGACGAGAGGGGGAGGCGAGGAGTGGGGAAGAGGAGGAGAGAGAGAATCGAGCAAGAGGGAGAAATTTGAATGCGCCCGGGGTTGCCGCACGCCCGACGACGGGAGGAGGGCCAATCGCGCCGGAGCCCGCGCGCTCACTGATGGGGGTGTCGGTGGGGTTGTTGCATGCGTGCTCAGTGGTCAGTGCTCTGCTCCCGGCCGGGCCGAGGCAACGACTCGTCGGCAGGAGGATTCGATTCGCCGGTCGCTGCATTCGTCATTAACTCATATCCGGTCTAATTACGCCGTTTGCTTAACAATCCTCGCACTCTTCTTTCCCACTATTTTAGCAATCCTTTTCAGCGAACGAATATTATTTTTCTCATAAAGTAAATTAGCGTAAGCTAAATTTTAGCGAAAAGGCTTGTGTTGCTCAGTCCGATGAGCATCTTCCTGTCACTTCTTAGCCTATTCGCTTGGTCGTAAACGATCGTAAATTTTCAGCCAGAAACCAAGTTTTTCTCTCACACTAAATCAGCCAGCAGTAAATAATCCACGATCCACATATGGTCTCCCGAACAGGCTTTTCCTCCATATAGGTTGACATTTTTGGCCTTTTGGGTGTGTGCATTGTGGCTGGTTGCTTAACATGCATACACGCTGCTATTTTTGTGCTGCTCGCTGATCAACTTTGAGCAAGGGAATTGCGATGCACATTTTGTCTATGCTTGGACCATGCATGCTGCAAAGTTGCATATACTCCGTATAATAAAAGTGGCAACAAATTATTCAATGCCAGATCCGGATCTTCTTATTAGGGGCATGCTAAACGATTAGAATTTTCAAACATGTGAGTTTCTCTCAACAAAAAATAAGCATCGATACGACACGCCTTTGTTAAGTGCTTATTAGGGGCATGCTGATTCCATTCCAAACATGTGAGTTTCATCGAAGCATCGATCACGTCTGTTAAGGCAGTCGGAGACTAGGTAACCAAATCTAAAATGGGTTTCAACACAATAATATCTATAGCCTTCAACAGAGAATTTATATGAAAGAACCATTTTAAATGTTAGGAGAGACATAACTCAAATATGAGTATCATGTCTTCTGGAGATCCATTTGTAAAAAGTTTTTATTTTAGATTTTATTGTTGGAGAAGACAAAAATAGATATTAAGCCTTTGCCTATTGATCGTCGGAGACAATCTAACGAAGTCCAGTTTGCGTACACCCCTGACCCCTGGGTAAACAGCGACCGTTAGAGAGACCACAACAAGAGGCACAGTGTTTGTGTCGATCACAAACAATCGAACCGAGGGAAGAAGAAAGCGAACCATCAACACTGGAGCATTCGGACGTCAGAACCAAGAGCGGTGCTTGCAGATGAGCCGCAACGAGAGCAATAAAAAATTGGTTTTGGACGCATCACCCGCCCCAGCCAGACACTGACTCCTCTGCTCTCATCGAATAAATGTGGGTTTTTAATTCTATTTGCGTGCAAAAGTCGCTGCCCACACTAGAGACATCGAACTCTGTTTTTGTTCGAATTGTACGGGTTGCTTGGTATAAGCTATACTCCGTCCGTCTCAGAACATTGGACGTCCGAACGTTCAAAACGAGTATTAAAATAGATAATGTTTTAGCTGGCTTCCTCCGTCAATGCATACTCAGTAGTCTAGCTTGTCAGGCGCAGCAGCCTTTGGTCCATGTGTTCGGCACCCACTCACTCTCTATTTGCTGGGCATCCTCTCTCTACATGTTCATTTACTGTCATTCACAGCAGCCTTTTGACAGAGGAAGTAGGGACAACCAGGTCATTTGTTGGCTTCCTTTGTAATCTCCCCCAACTCCTACGACGACAAGCATTATGGGACAGAGGGAGTACGTGGCTAAAATAAGCTAAAATCAATAGCTAAACGTTACGTTTTTCAGCAGCTTATTTTGGTCACGCTTATTTCCATAGCTCCTATCTATACTAAAAAGCAGAAGCTAGATCAAACAAGCTTATTTTAACCGCCATTTTTACTTTATTTGTGCAGCTTATCTGAGAAAGCGTTTTCTAGATAAGCTATACCAAACAGGGCTATTGTTCGACGAGACATTGGAGGTGCCCTTGCTCTTTAGCTTTTTGTTTAGTTTATGGAACCAAAGGAGTTAATCTATCACCATTTTATTCCTCACAAACTAATATTTAGTACCCGTATGCATTACCCCATCTAGAATGGGTTAATTCATTCATAAACTAAACATACTTTAGTGGACTAATAATTAGTACCAGTACACATCACCAAAGGGATCATTGTAGGGTTGAGATGACGGGCTAGAGGGGTGAATAGTCCTTTCTAAAATTAATCGCACCGGCTAACCGAAACAAATACGAAATTAAAACTAACGGTCTAACTAAGACTATACCCCTCTATCTAAGTTCTCTAGCACCTTACAAAGATACTAATTAAGCAACTAAGATGTCAGGCTAGCTAGAGCTCACCTAACTAATTCTAGAAGTAAGGTCACACAAACCTATTCAATTATTACTTTAAGCACGGGGGAGCTTCTACACAACTAGTATGCAAAAGCACAAAATCTAAGCTCACTAACAATGCTCGATAACAAGACAACCAATACTAAATTAGAGAGCGTAAATTAGTTAGTTACATAAACTAAGTAATGTAACTAATAAGGTTACTAAAACCAAATTAGTTACGCAAGGGAGCTACTTCTATGCTACACAACCAAAAAGATAACTAGCAAGCTACACAAGCTAACTAATTATAAAAGCAACTATACGAGCACAATATATATGAAAGTAAATACAAGCTTGTGTATAGGGTTGCAAACCAACGGAAAAAAGATGACACGATGATTTTTATCTCGACGTTCACTTGGTGGCCACCAAGCTAGTCCCTGTTGTGTCGACCGCTCACTTGGTGGTTCGACAACTAATTGGCATCACTCGTCAAGCCCACACGTTGGGCACCATAAGAACCTACCCTAAAAGTGAGGGTAGCTCAATGACACGCTCGACTAGAGTTGCTATTCGCGGCTTCCATGGGGCGAACACAATACCCCTCACAAATCCTTCTTCGGAGCACTGCACAATCTTCTTTGTATGCTTCGACGGAGACCACCATCAAGCAGTCTAGGAGGTGGCAACCTCCAAGAGTAACAAGCACCACCGGTGTAAGGGACCGTGACGCCTAAGAGGGAGATGAATTAGGCAACTTAAAACTCTAACTCTAAAATATGGCCTCTTTTTCTATCCTTAGCAAAAACCTATGCAACAGATAAACTATCTAAATGTGTAATTATAGTTTAGCTAGTGTGTTACTATCTCTAACGTAAAAAGGAGTTATGCAACCTAGATTCCAAACCTATCAACTAGCCTATCACTAAGCTAGGAAAGTAAAGCACAAGCCAAGATTACAATGTAAATGCGGAAACTAAAGAGTAAGGTTGTGATATGCAAACTCCCATCGATTACCTCGGTATTTTTACTGAGCTATTGAGAAGCGCACAAGCTTTCCCCTAGTCCTCGTTGGAGCCCCTCGCAAGGAATCCCTTGCAAGGGCCAAGCTCCCGGATGGGTAACTCCGTTGATAGCCCCGAGCCTTCTCTACGCGCAAGTGGGTCTCGATGTGCCTTCTAGTAAGCCTCTCCCGGACCACTCCCCGCTGTCTTCACTATCAAGCTTCCGGTTAAACCGCCGTGAGCCTTGTTCCCTTCGATACACGGTGGCGGCCACACCACAAACGCGGTTGGTGTGATATCGCAAGACTACAAGCCCCTCTAATATACAACAATTGTGCGCGCAAGCACCGAGTGGTAAGAGGTGTGCAAATCTCACTAAACACTAGGCCTAAACCTAGAGCAAGCGCATAAGCGATGGTCTAACTAACCTAAGCACTTTGCAAAGCACGTACACTAATCACCGAATGTATCACTAAGCACTATGCAAGTGGAGATCACTAAAGTGGTGTATCAACAGCCTTGGTATGTTTCCTCAGCTCTTCATATCTCAAATGGCCGGTTGGGGGGTCTATTTATTGCTCCACAATTGAGAACTAGCCGTTGGACCCGAGACCCAACTTTCTGCTAGTGACGAGACACTGATCACGTCCCAATCGGACGCGTCCGGTCCTGCCGACCGTTGGAGCGCGCACATTGATCGGACTCTGGGCCGAGTCCGGTCTCACTCGATCGGACGCGTCCGATCGCGCTGGCGCCGCTTTGGAACCTTTCTGGATATGATTGGACGCTACTTCTTGAGTGCGTCCGGTTGTCCTACCGTCGCGTCTAGTCATGCTGAGAGCGTTGTCGTTGATGATGAACAGTGAAGTTCGTGCGTCCGGTCACTGCCCCACTCAGCGTCCGATCGCTGCTGCTGACGCCTGCTATTGCCGAACAACTGATCGAACGCATCCAGTCCTCATAGGGCCGCGTCCGGTCACCTTTGTCGGGCTCGTTTCTTCATGATCTTGCGTCTGGCTTGGTTCCCATTTTCGTGCTTTGACTTTATTTGATATCTTGGGTCTTCTCTTATGCTTCTAGGGTCTTGCTTATGGTGTTGATCGTGGGATCATCATGTCGCCTTCGTCCAAGTCACGTCTTGCACCCTATTGAACTACAAACAATTACTTGTAAATTTGTTAGTCCAATTTGGTTGTGTTGGTCACCAAAGACCAAAATCCAAAGTAAATGGGCCTAGAGTCAATTTTCCTTACAATCTTCTCATTTTTTATGATTGATGTCAACACGACCAAAGCAAGCAAATAATAATAATTTTGGAATTTAAAAAACTATTTACTTGTTAGAATGCAATGCAAAGGGCAAGATTAT